GTACGCCTTGGTCCATGGAATAGGGCACACGGTATTTCCTAGTAAGGCATACACAAGTGTTACAAAGTTCCAAGAGAAAATTAACTTATCAGTGTACAAAATGTGATGCCATATTTAGCAAATCATAATACAGGAGCCCTCTTAAATTTAAATTTCAGGTGAACATGCAATATTGGGCTAGACACACTGAAAAAAAATTGTCTACGATTTACCTGAAATTCAAATTTACTGGGTTTCTGTATTTTTCTTGCAACCCTGGTAAAAAGCCAGGAGGCTATTTTGAGATAGTCACCACGTCTATATCAGGTCAAGAGTGAAGGAGTTAAGAAGTTATCAGTAAGGAATTTGGATTGACACTTGACAAACAGTCATTTAATAGTGAACCAAAACAGTCCATTTTAAGGCTCCTTTCTGAGAAGGATGATGCATCATTAAGGCTACCGGAGGGGGAGGGGAAGGTGGAGAACAGAGCTGGTGGGGCCCAATGGAGCATCCGTGGAACACTGTGGGTGCCTTGGTGGGGGGTGGAGGGTGACCCAATCTGAGAAGGTGTGACCCTACACCTCGCAAGCACCTACAGTCCTGTAAACCAATGTTACCGCAATAAAATTAAAATCCTCCTCTGGTAATGAACAAGTGAATCACTTCAAACATGCATCTCTCTTTGGGATTCGGGGTCCTCCTATAACTTCCATTCCCCTAAATGCAGACCTTCCAACTCCCCTCACATGGCTGCCACCCTCTGGTGAGGAAGAGGAGTGAGCTTCACCTCCCCCTTGCAATGTGTCTGCAGAGGACAGGGCCTGTAGTGGAGAAAACAGGGCCTGTTGTAGACTGGGTTCCAGCAGGGGAGAGAAGTCATTCCCTAGCTCTGTGCTTTTGTGTCAAGACTAGGGGTGGCTCCTAGATGCCTCCTGGGGTGTCTCTGCCTGCTGCTGTTGCAGAGACAGGAGCAGCAGGCCAGAGGGAAAGTTGTCCTCATAAAACAACCAACCATTTGCAACAATTTTATTTGCAAAGATTTCCTGCTGTGGCTAAGTGGTATGGCTGCTTGGCTTGTTATTTAAAAGAGTGACCTAGAGACCGGAGCTCTGAAGAGGGGGAGAGGGGGATTTCATACCAGGAGGAGGAGGAGCTGGGATGGCGTGTGCCTAGATGAATTCCTCTGATACTGCTGAGAGGACCATGCCAGGTGGGAGTGGCTCAGACTTTGGGGATAGCTCTTTAAGAGTCCCTGTTCACCTCTAGATACTTTCAGGGTCCTGATAGAAAACCATGAAAATAATCCCCAGAGCTAGAAACTATGAGCAGCTGGGTTTGGGAGGAAGGGAAGGAAAAGGTAATGGAGATGAACAAGGGACAGGGACATCTAAGAGATGACGTCCAGCAGGTCATCAGATGCTGCACCCAGGAAAGTTTGGGAACTGGGGCGGGAAAGTTCGGAGGAAAGATCCTAGTGGAAAAGGACCTGGGGAGGCTAAAAACACTCGCCCAGAAGCACAGTGAATTGCCCAGAATTGCATGAACATGGACACTGTCCTCTAGGCTGCCACTGCTCTTGATGGATATAAGCCGTGTGCTCCGTGTGCCTCCAAGCATCGCCACTCTGGGAACATGGAGGTGGGCGCATGCAGCTCTCTAGAGAGAGGCTAGCAGATGAGGGTCCGCACACAGTGACCGCAAGGATGGGAACAAAAGTTACATAGCCAAGTGTGATTTTACGGAGGCAGTAGAGACCTGACTTTGGAGATAACATTTACACTCTCAGGCACAACAGACCCAATGGGAAATGATAATGTAGAGTGAGTTTTAAGATAAACGCCAGCAGTCCGGATCATTCCTATGACCACTTGAACTCCTCGTGTGGTTAGCAGTCATTATTTAAGCCTCGATATTCTTTAATAGTCTTTCATTCTTTCAGTTTATTCATGGTTTCTCTGGTTTGGTTGATACATTTGGTAAAATAATCTGATTCAGGTTGGAATTTAACCCTAAAAACAGTGGGAGAAAACATGAAAGGATATAACTATTGAATAGGAAGTTCTGCAAGGAAATCTCTGTTGCTCGCAAAGAGAAGAACAAGAATGCACTGCAGTGGATGCTGCACCAGGCCCTGGGACCAGCTCAGCATCCTGGAGGACAGAGTTCATCACTCCACGTAGCTTCCCTGTGCTTAGAATGGGGGACAGAGAACTGACTAAGAGAGAAAGGTAGTTGCCTTCACACCTTAGGGAAGAGAGACAATAAAGCACTTAAACACAGGCATCTGAAATAATCTGGACACCTGAGTCGCTCTATTGGAGCAGCACCAGCCACAGTGAGTGATGTCAGGCCAGAGCTCAGCAAAGTCAAGAAAGAAACTTGAGGAGTGAAGACCCAGCAGCAGGTGAAGGAGCACCTGTGCTTGTGTGTGGTGGGAAGTGAGGCTCAGGGAGCATGTTCAAGACAGAAGAAAGAACGGCGTTGAGAGCGAGCATGGTATCTTCAAAGAAATAAAGTTCAATTTTGCAGGAATGTAGCATTCAAGGGGAGAGAGTGGCATGAGATGATTCTGGCCCCTGCTGGGGAAGGCTTTCTAAATCATATTAAGGAGATGGGACTTTATTATAGGAGCAATGAAAAGCCACTGAAAGGTATTAACAGGAGAGAGATGAAATCACATTTTCATTTTAGATCGCTCTGGCTGACATGTAGATTGAAAAGAAGGGGGACTGAGATATGTACAAGGAACTGCAGCAACGCAGGCAAGAGGAGATGACTGGGCTATGCCAAGGGATGAAAAAAATGAAAGTGGAGAAAAGCCACAGAAAATGGCATGACTGGCTATGACATCTGAGGGATATGAAATCCAGGACACCCTGGAAATTTTTACTGTAGACCACTGGGCATAGGAAATAACCCTTGTGGGTGCTTGGATTTGTCTAGAGAAGACCTGGAGGGCAACAGAGAGGAGAAAGCAGCTTAGCTTTGGATATGGCGCATTTTCAGGCTTTTTGACATCCAAGCACACCTAGCAGGGGAACAAAATCAGTCACTCCAATATACATCTTCCTGGCAAAAGGGTTATTTTCATGGGAAGGGTTCTGAAGGTCTGGTAGAAGTTGCTTTTGATATTTATATGTAAACTCTCTCCATAAAGGCCTTAATCTTTTCAAAGGAGTTGGCAGAACTTAAATCTGTATTCCTTTTCTCTCATCCGCCTTTTAGATGAACTCCCTCACAGAACTTCCCCTCTCTTCCCCAGCCTGCCCTGGCTTAGCTGAGCTAGTTAAGATGGTGTCTGAAGCCTCGTGGGTGAGCTCCCCAGTCCTGCTGGGTCCCACCCTTGCAGACAGGATGCACACATGCTGTTCTTAAACTTCTCTTTAACTTTTTCTCTTATCAGTCTGTCTGGTGCTTGTGTATTTGCCAGCCTAGAAGAACCCAGAAGGGTCTTGGATGATTTCCTTTGTGCCCCGACACAAGTCACAGTTATAGATATTGCCCTGGGGGTGTCAGGCGAGAGGTTTCAGCCAGAAATGTCAGTTGGGAGGAACCTGCAGACGCTCGTGGCATCCTCGGCAATGGATAAGCAGAGGGTCCGGGACAGAATTTGAGAAGTGCCCGTGTGTAAGACATGTGTCAATGAGGAAGAAGTGCCAAGAAGCCTCACAGAATTCTCAGCAGGGTAGGATGGAAACCGAGACAGACTGTACTCAACAAGCTGCAAGAGCAGAAAGTTCTGGGTGGGAGACATGAAGATGGGGGCACAGATGCAGCTACATTAGCTGGGTTTACTTTCTGCTCTGAATTAGGAGCTCAGCTGAAAAGCTACAACCTGACTTCTGGAAGGGAGTTGAACAAGTTGAAACAAATAAGTTAATTCAACCTCCATTCCAATGCACTTCACCCTTGCCAGAGTACCTTTTCTGATATTTTACTTAAATTGGATGGTGGGTATCAAGTATGTGTATTTTCCTGAATATCGTGTTGTGTGTCTAATGTGGTTTATAAAACTTAAAACAAATGTCCAAAACCTATCACTGAATGAAAGTCAAGTTACTGGATGGCATGTATAGTTTTAATTCCACTTAATGTAAAGCTATAGAGTGCCATTCTCGTCAGTGCACACATACAGGGAGTTGTACTGTAAGAAAGTTAGTCACTGGTTATTCTAGCAATGACCAGATTTATGTTTTTTTCTACTTTCTACTTTGGGCTCTTATATTATTTGAAAGCTCCATATTATTTGAAAGCTCATAATATGCACAAGTAGCAGTTTTACATAAATAATAAAGCCACAAAAGCATATAGGTGCTTCTACCACACACCGCCACAAAATGTCCCTAACAGAGATGAGGTGGGGTCAGGAGAGCAAAACTCCATCCCTGTCATCTTACTAAATAAACCAGGCTGAAAGCAAACCTATGAGCCTCTTTTCTAGCACCATTTTCTTTCTTAAAGGCAGAAGAGGGGAGAAGCAAAGGCGCTACAGAACCAAGACTACTCCTATACCAAAGAATCATCCTCATCCTCACAGGCCAGGAGATGTCAAGGTAAGTGGGCAGGTGCACCCTCACTTCTAAATCTGCCATCTCTCACCATCATCGGGTACATGGGGCCAGAGACCTGGGCTCAAGACCAAACAACCTCTTGCTCACAGCGTGGCTATAGGTGATTTACACCTATAAACCTTGTTCTCTTGTATGGCAAAGTGGAAACAATTTGAAAAACCTGCTGCAGTTATCATTTTGAGGCTTCAACGAGGTCACACACACAAACCTCTCAAGGTCACGCCCAGCACACAGTAAGTGCTCAATAATTGGGGCTTGTTTTATTAGTCTTTGAACAGAAACACCAGCACAGCAAGTTGTGGAGCTGCAGCATGCCCAGCCATGCCCCATCCCATCCCAGAGTCCAGCCTTCAACCCACGGACATCTGGAAGGGCTCTGCCCACCCTTCCCAAGCCTCCGATCCCGACTTTGGAAGCTGCCCACCAACCACCCCTCTCCACACTCACCTATTCAGCATGTTGGACTGGTAGATTCTCTTCTCGTGGGTGTTGTAACAACTGCTCTTGGGCTCGGGGATGAAGCTGTGTGCAGACAGCATGTCGGAAGCAGCGGTGGTGATGATGGCAATTCCATCCCTCACCCGGGCAGGGAGGCCATAGTCCCATTCATCATAGGACACAGAGATGAGCCCAGTGGGGAATTCCGAGGGCACAGTGTCTGTGTCTCCTGCCACCAGACTAGGCACAATCCACGTGTAGCCGTAGCCAGTGAGCCCAACTGAGTTAGCCACCTCGAAGATGTAGGTGGCTTCTTCCTTAGTGCAATAAAGAAGGATGATGGGGCTCTGCAGTTTCTTGAGCTGGTTCTGGATCTTAGAGTCTCCATCATCCAGGGACATGTCCAGCAGGAGGACTTCCTCTAGCTCCCAACCCACGAAGCTGTTCTCGATGGTACTGCGGATCTTGTTGACAAAGTCCTGGTAGCCGGGGAAGTAGGTGGTGACAATAGAAAAGATGTACCAGTCATATTCCTCCATGATGTTGAGCATTACAGAGGCTTGCTGTTCAATGGATGGGCCAAATTGGAAGAACATGGAGGATTCATCCTAGAAGAACAACAATTAAAAGAAAAAAAAAAAAAAAGGGAAAAAAATCAAACCAAACTTGTTAAGGGAGGGTGTGAGCCACTCTGGACACAAAGGTTTGTTTTCATTATTTAATTTCTATCATAATGCCTTTAGATGTGGATACATTTGAATTGCAAATATTGTTAATGTCTTTGTCCCTAAAATGACCTCCTAGATGCTAGAGAGAACTCAACACAGGTATCTCTGCATTCTTTATTTGAAATCCTTAGGACAAAGCCTAAGGCAGTCTCCTAAAATCAAATATGCTAATATTTCTTTTTTTTAAGATTCATTTATTTATACAAGCACTGGGTATAGTCAGAAGTGCAGGAGGGTGAGAGAATTCACCAGAGCGGGGAACAAAACAGGCAGACTGACGAAATACATGCTGAGGGGAGCAGTGGGCACCGCAGGAGAGGTCTGTCAAGGTCTGTCATGCCATGTGGGACCCTCGCCCAGCAGCCAGAGATTGAACCGGCACGCTGCAGAGGGCAGCTTCGCAGCCCAGTGCTCAACTGCTGCGCCACCAGGGGAGGCCCTCAAATATGCTAATATTTCTAAAGAAAAACACGTGAGGACTCACAAGAAGTGGACACAAGACTCTAAATGGCCTCCTGTCAGTTCAGGTTTCCAGTCAAACAGTTACACAAATACATAGGCACACACTCACAATTTCCATTTCTTAAGCATTTGGCCTTCTCAGCTGTGAAAGTGTATCACTGAGTCAGAGCGAATAATCCTCAATGTCATCAATCTACCCTGGAAACTACTAGGTGAGGTAGAACTGGTGCACTAACCTGGCAGGTGGATAGTACTCAGGTAGAGATGTTAGGGGGAAGTGTATCCTGGACAGAAATGCAAGTTAGAGTGCGGCACAAACAGTGTATCTAAGCTACAAGTTAGAATGATTTGTATTCAGGCTCATATACGATGGACCCAGGTCTCACTCTGACCTATATATTACACACACCCTCTTCTGTCAACTCTGAGCATCCTGTTTTCTCCCTCCTCTGAGGGAGAAGCCATTTTAAATTTCTCCCATTTTAAGCTGTATTTCACCTGCTGTTCTGAGATGTCAAGTCTTGCATTTTACCTCTGCCGCACAGCTACAAGAATCCTGTTCCACAAAATGAAGACCCTCTCAGCCTTGTCCCCCTCTCTCCAGCCACTTCCCCCTCACTTCCCTGTGGGCAGTGGCCTCTCTTCTTTGTCAGTGCCCATCTTCTGTCTGATGGAGCATATCCATTTTATAACAATCCAGGCTAATGAAATTGTGTTTTTCTCAAGAGACATTGCTTTTGTATCCCCTAGCCTGGGCCTTCAAAGTACAATGATGAGAGATGAGGCTTTTCAATGAGATTGTAGTGATATCTTAGTTCAGGAATAGAGTGGAACATCTGGGAAATTGCTGAGTATTTTTGGGAGGCACCTTCTAATGAAGAAAATCCAGGCTGGCAAATATCCAGGGGTATCTAAGGACCCTGACTGCCCAAGGCAGCTCTAGCTCCTGGAGTCTGCCAGAACTCTGTGCCTCACAGAGCATGAGCTTCTCAAAAACCAATGGGAATGAAACAGTAAACGCTTTTTTTCTTTTTCACCTTTTTAAAAAAAAGCACTTACTGTTTCATTCCCAGTGGTTTGTGAAAAAAATAATTTCAAGAATCTATTTTACTTAATGTCTGAGTAGTATATCCAACTAACATGTCAATATGTAATCAATATAAAAAATTAGTAATGAGGGACCTCCCCAGTGGCACAGCAGGTTAAGTGCCACACTGTGAAGCTGTTTGCAGCCTCTGCAGCACAGGTTTGATCCCTGGCCGGCCAGGGAGATTCCCACATGATGTGGCAGACCTCTCCTGTCTCATCCACTGCTCCCCTCAGCAGTGTCTTCAGTCTATCTGCCTGTTCTGCTCCCTGCTGTGTCTCTGGTGAATCCTCTCACTCCGCCCCGAGCCTCTGACTGTACCCCAGGTCTTGTATGAATAATCTTTAAAAAATTAGTAATGAGATAGTTTATATTCTTTTTTTCATATTAAATTTTCAAAATCTAAAAAAAAAAAAAAGTAAAGAAAAGAAACAGTAAATGCTGTCACTTGGGGGTGAATCTCCCTGCTAAGCGTAAAATGGAACCAATCATGATTCTCTTCCCTGGACTTAAACATTCAAAAAGTAGATTCAAAGAACCATGGAATTCAGAAAAGTAGAGCAGGTGGGAGACCAAGTAGGAGAGAAGGAATTCAAAACAGAATAGCGATCTGTGTGTCCATTGGGAGCAGGCCAGCCCCTGCTCCCAACTGCTTGCTATTATACAAGTACTGCTTTTCTGGTGAAGGTGACCTTCTCCTGAGGTCAAAGGACACGGTGAGTCCAGAGAACAAAGCTTGTCCAACACTTGTCAGGGAGCTGCAGAGGGACCCACAGCAGGGAAGGCAGGCTGGTGACAAGGCCACCCACTCAGAATGACTATGGCTTTAAAGAAATAGCCATTTGGGGGCCTCCCCAGTGGCACAGCGGCGGTTGAGCGCTGGGTTGCGAAGCTGCCCGCAGCTGCCCGCAGCCTCTGCCAGCCTCTGCAGTGCAGGTTCAATCGTCCCACATGGCACACAGACCTCACCTGCCGCCCGCTGCTCCCCTCAGCAGTGTACTTCGGTCCGTCTGCCTGTTCTGCTCCCCGCTCTGGCTCTGGTGAATTCTCTCACCCTCCCGCGCTTCTGACTGTACCCAGTGCTTGTATAAATAAAAAAAAAAGAAATAGCCATTTGTTTTTCTTGTTATACTTCCAATGGAAGAGAGTTTGGGGATTCTCAAATAAGATATATTATCACTTGTGTTGTTCACAAGTCCGGTGGAGATAAGAGACACAAGCTTCCAAATATACCTTAAAATGTACAGGTTCAGGAGGGGTGGAGCAACATGGCGGCGAGGAGACGCTGCGAGTAAGATCTCCCATTAAAAAAAGTTAATAGGGAGGAAAAGCGGCAGGTCCCAGTGAGAACCGGGACACGGAAGATAAACGGGTGACTCCAGCAAACTACCCGAAGAAGAAAGTGGCCATAAAAGAGGACTAGAAGGGAGGGAAGCGCAGAATCCTGCTCCCCTCCCCCGCCCACCGAGGCGGCACTCTCCGACCGGCAGAGGAGGAAAACAACAAACTAAAACGACCAACAAGAACAAACGACGCAGCAAGCGGGACTGTGAGTGGAAAGGAACTATTGCAGCCACCACACCCCGTGAACGGGAGCTGAGGCGAACCCTGCAGGATCCGCCACGGCGGTGAGCGAACAGCTCCGGGCGCCATTAGAGAAGAACAAAGACCCCGGGAGACGCGCACCCAGCCCGGGCTGCCGGTAAGCCTGCGCGGAAAGCGGTGTGCTTGGCGCGCTTGAAAAGCAAGTGCAGACCGGGATCGCGGCTGCCCAGGTCCCCGCGCCTGCGACCTAGGCTTGGGAGACGACCTAGGCTTGCAGGGAGACGCGGAGGTCCTCACTGAGGTGAAGGTCCCTCCCTGAGTGAGCAGGAACCAGGCACCCAGGCACGGGAGCGGTGCAAAAGGCGCCATTCCCGCGCCACTGAACTGGGCTACAGCCCGCGTCCTGGAACTGAGGGCTTTGGAACTGAGACCCGGGGCACGAAATTAGGGGCGTGGGTTCCCCATGACGGTGGGGCACAAGGCAGACACAGCACCCCAAAGCCGTTGAGGTGTACCCTACCATCCCCGCTCTGCTCCCTGTCCCACGGGGTGGAAAATCAGCTCCCCAAGGGCTCTAGGAGAAATCTCTGGCGCCACCTAGCGACTTAAGCCAGCACAGGCTCCTGAAGGAGCTAGTGGCCAGCTGGGGAGTTAGCCCACACCGGGCCCCTTCCGAACAAGTAGTCTGAGCCCACAGGGAGAGCGAGCACCCACAGCCGGGGCAGACCAGGCGCGCAGAAGAGTGTGCCTGAGACTGGACGCGCAGGGAGTGTGTCCCACATCACCATTTTAGAACAGGGACATTTCTTCAGTAAAGACTACCTGCACAAGGCTTCCTCAGGAGCCAGAGGTGAGCAGGGGAAGTTCGCCCACGCCAGACCACCTCTGGCCTGCAGTCCAAGCCCAGAGGGGGAACAGGAACCCACCGCTGGGGCAGACCAGGCGCACAGGGGAGTGTGTCCCCACATCGGCATTTTAGGACAGGGACCTTTCTCCAATAAAGACTGCTTGAAACTGACAGATGACTCCTGGAGGAACCAGAGGGGAGCAGAGAAGCCCACCCAAGATGCCGGCCAGTCCCAACAACACAGTGTCCCAACGCATACGGCAAATTAGAAAACAGACAGTAGGGAGGAGAAGAACCACACGCAACCTAGCAACTCTCCAGAGAAAAAGCACACCACAAAAAGAAAACCAGCCCCCAGATTGCAACGACAGTAACTTGGAAGAACTTCTGAGCCTTCCAGAAAGAGAATTTAAAATTGCCGTGATTAAAAAACTGACAGAAGTCATAAAGGAAAACAATGATAAGGGAAAAATAATCAACGATCAGAAGAATGAAATTGAGTCCCTAAAGAGGGAAGTAAAAGAAATGCAGGAGATCAAAGAATTAGTGGAAGAACTAAAGAATTCTGGGAAAAGCAATGAAAGCAGAATTGATGAAATGGAAGAACGAATAAGTGCTCTTGAAGACACAGAAATAAAAAGAACCAAAACAGAAAAGGAAAGAGAAGTACAAAGGAAAAAGAATGAAGAAAGACTTCGGGAACTATCTGACTCCATGAGGAAAGGAAATATAAGAGTTATAGGAATACCAGAAGGAGAGGAGAGAGAAGTAGGAACAGAGAAAATATTCAAAGAGATAATTGAAGAGAACTTCCCAAATGTGAAGAAGGAGCTGAAAATTGATATACAAGAAGCAAGAAGAACACCAAACTTCCACGACGAAAGAAAAAATACAGCAAGACACATAATAGTAAAGCTCCCTAGAATCCAGGACAAGGAA